ATTCTATAACAACTGTTTATCCTAAGATTATTACAATACTGTTCTTGTGTGTGTCTTAGAGGCTTAGTGAAATAGGACCAGTGGTCAATGTTTGCCCTTTGAACAGACTCTTGTCCATAGAATACAACCTCCTCCTGAAGGAAGACAAGCAGGTCCTTATTCTGGCTCTTTATCCAGCTCTGTTCTGGGAAGTGTTCTTGTATTGTGGTTTTCTACTGAATAATTTCATCGAAGTCCCCTAAATTACAAATATACCTTTCAAACATGTGTATTAGGGGCTAGCCCTGCAGCCTGGTGCTTCAGACCATATTCAGTCATTCCACACGACTGAATGTAGTTTGAATCTTGGCCCTGACAGCTTGAAAAACACACTGAGTGCATGTGCATCTCTGCCCAGAATCCTGACAGGGTGGAGAAATGGAGAGTGGCAGAATGAACACACCCCAAAGGGAAGTGCTTCCTCCCTGTTCCTCTCTCTCTGGAGAGTGCACTGGCCCTCTGTTGATAAGAACAAAATAAAAAACCAAAATATGTTCACTGGAAGAATGATCAAATTAGAATAAAAGATAGGGATTCCAGCCTGCCTCTTACACTCACCTGGCTGTGTAACTAAGGGCATATTTCTAGGACACCCAATGTCCCCATCTGCAAAGTAAAGATAATACTTCTTATCTTCAAAGGGAAAACTGTAACAAGCAAGATACTGCATTGGGAAGCAACTTCCAATTCACCTGCGCTATGAAATGATTTGTCTTTTGGTGCCTGGCAAATAGAAAACTTCAAGAAAATGTGGTAGAATTTAAATGTTGCTTAATGTTAAAAAGTCACTGGAAAGCCTGTTGAGAAAGTAATTTTATGGGACATGAATATTTTTGTATGTTATTTATTATTTATGGATGTCAATTGCTCTGATGAAAATTAGGATTAAGGATTCATGTGGTTTAAGGGAATATATGTCATTGAAATTTGTAATGAATTATGTTCATCTCTGTCATAGATGAGCCAGCCTCAGTCCTATCTCTTTTTTAAAATAATTATTTCACTTTAATTTTATTTATTATTATTATTTTAATTTGACCAGAGAGAGAGAGAGAGAAAGAAAGCAAGAAAGCTGCCAGGTCCAGGTCTTGAACTGCCATCTGCCCTGTGGGAGTCCAGAGCCCCAACCACCATGGCACCCACCAGCCCCTTCAGTCCTGTCTTCAGCTTCCTGCTAACAGTATCAGTTCTTCAGGATAGATTCTCACTCCTTTCAAGTTGAAAGGGTAGGAAAGGTCAACCTGAGCTGATTTATCATAAATCTGTGTACATTCAGATTTTGCATCCAAGTAGTAAATTTTGTTTTACAATTATATATTAAATTTTGAATGTGTTGTGGCAAGTAATGACTGGGTTAAAAGCTAGTCTTATATAAAAACAACTCAAACTTTAACAATGGATGAAATGAAACAGTAGTTGAAAGATAGCGGGGAGTATAAGGCTCTACAGAAACCATTGATAGAAGAAAAGGTAAGTACTTTCGTATCTTCTTATTCCTTTATTAGGTTCAGAACACGAGGTCAAAGCTGTGTCCTTGAATGCTTTTCTTAGTTCCACTACCCATCTAGCCTGGAACATAACTATACAACTGTAAAGCCATTTTTCCTACCTCTGTTACTGACCCAGGTCATGTGTAACCTTAAAGGGTATAGTATACTCCGGTATGCATCAAATTTTCAGTACTAGATGCCATCTCAGAGATCATACTTTCAAAAAGAAATACGTCATTATTATTACCAAAATTAATCAAGTATGCTAAATCTAAAACCTTACATCTATAGAGAAATTGCCTTAATATGTTAACATCCAAGTCATTTTCCTCAGATAAACATAAAGAGCTCGGCGTTGTCTCGACTCCTTAATTAAAATAATTGAAAGACCTTTCAGTTCTAATAATGAAAAACAATGAATGAGTTCAGCCCTGTGATTTTAATAATTGTTCTTTGCAGATAATAAAAAGTTGAGATGAGATATTATTGTTCAGCGCTAAATTTCAGATACAGAAGCAATCTTTTGGCTCTTACCTGTGAAGTCCAAGATCCTCTCCAACTAATTATATTTTAGTGTGACTTCACGGTTATAGTTTTAAATCTTTTTCTTGATTTCAAAGGAAGAGCAGAACACTTTCCAATTAGAATATCATCTTATTGTCTTGATACATACTTAAGCAGGATTAAATGTGTCTGCATTAAACATTTTAAAGTTGAAAATCTTCCTATTCTTTCTTTTTTTTTTTTTTAGTTAAATGATGTTAGGTGTTTCTTTTTTATTATAAATAAAGCTCAATTGTTTTGATAACGTTCCTATAGTTTGTTTCTTTCTACAATAAAAATTCAAAAGGAAGCATATTTTTCAGTTAATCTGAACACTTTTTATCTTAGTTTAATGTTTACAGTTGTTTTGCATTTTTTAATTAAAAAAAGTAAGCTATCTTCCCAGAAGATTTTGAATAACTTTCCAAGAAGAGTTTGTAAAAAATTATAATATGGTCTCTAAAACTGAAAAAAAAAAAGTAAATATGGCAACACATTGAAGAACACACTGAAGGGCGTATGTAATTATGGGGGAAACTTCAAAATGTTTATGGAAAACTGGCTTCAAAGAATGAGTTTATTATGGTGCAAAATTTTTTTCTTTGCAATCCATGCAGTTTTCTGGTAATGCGCATTTTCCATGAGCTTTTTGAAGCTCTTTCATATACAAGCTGAGAATCATCTGGTCGTAACCTAGTACCTATATTTGTGATTTAAGGTGTAATTACAACTGTGAAAGGGATCATTTGCCTCCAAGTGTATTTTATTAAATATGTTGTTTAACCCTACATTATAGACTATATCTTTTCTTTCCTGCAGAGCTTATACATGTCAGATAAGCAGAGAATGATTCATTTTGAATGCTTGCCACAATAATCTTTTGACTGTGTATTAACTGTCCCACTGTGCCTATTTTTCTGTCATTTAAAGTTTTTTATATTCTTAGATCAATCAAGGGATCTATTTGTGTGGACTGTGTTTTGCAACCACTAGAATAATTTTCTCTCATCTGGTGTTTTTATTTTGAAATCACAGGGATATTTAATCTTGGCTGTGTTCAAATAAAACTGATTTTTTTTTTTTACTCATGGTCTGCACAATTTCGGTAGAAAGCACCTTTTACTCTCAATTCTTTCTTCAAGACTTAAGGATATATGTATGAAGTGAGGTTCTTCTATTCGAATGCCTTAATGCTTTATGAAGCAAATATTGGAAAGATTTAAACTACCATGACTCCAAACATATGGGAAAACAACTGTGACTAACAGATTTTTCCTCTGAGAATTCTTCACTACCTAATCTTAATGAGAAAGAAATGTTTAGAAATTGATAACCAAAGAGTAAAGCATTGAAGAGTAATTTTAAAAGTTAAGTGAGACTTTAGGTTTTATTCTCAGCAAAAATATACATTTGATAAAAAACTTAGTAAGCATCTTCACCTTCCTTCCTCAAACCTGCACCTCCTCCACCACCATCTCAATAAAGAGGAGAAGAATCAGGGACCTTGACTGATTAAATCCTGGGACGTTGCCTGTTTCTTCTATACCATTCCATAGGTCTCCTTTGCGCCCATGTTTTTATGTTCCTTTAATAGGAGGAATGGAGCTTAATAGTTCATTTCCTACATTGAAAAACGACTTTTTTCCTGATGCATCCCTCATTAGTCTCATTAAAATTGGGAAAGGTACAGTGATTACCAATGTCACTGGAAAAGTTGGACTGAAGCCTCTGAGATATTACTTAAATGACTACTTGATGGAGAGAGAGAGAAAGAACAAGCTAAGGGGGAGACAGAGAAGTAGAGAGAGACAGAGAGGGACAAAGAGAGAGGCAGGCTCATAGGGAGAGATAAACAGAAACGGAGAGTGAAAAGGAAAGAGAAACTGAGGAGGCGTCTTTTCTGGACTTTAATAAATATGCTACAATTCTGATTTTTAAAAAAGAAATAGTCTCAAAAAATTGAGGAAACCATATCTGAAAATAGTTGGTTAACACTGACCCATTCCATAAATATTTGCTTCTTGCTCATTGTGCTAGGCCCTCTTCCCAGCCTTATGCTGCCGGGACTGTCTGGAAGTTGTACTATTTAAAACAACATTATTTGAAGTGTCTATACCAGGGCATTGCCTAAGATCCTGAGAATGAAGTCTCTCAGCATTTTGCAGCAGGAAATTTTGTGACTAAACCAGAAACAATGTTGCTAGATTGATGAAAACACCGTCAGGATGTCCAGAGATAGCTAGTCTACATCTGTTCACTTCTGGCTTTTAAAATTGACCTTCCTTGGGAGAAAATTTGACTGCTTACATGTAAATTATTCCTAGGGAAGTTTATTTTTGAATCTCCTTTGGAAAATGTAAGTTATTTAACTAAAACAGCCTGGAAACCTTATATAGAGAAATACATTCTTTCAGAATGTTTATGCTTCCCATCAATCTGTATATAGTACCATGAAGAGTACAATTAAAAAAAAAACAAAACATCCCCTAAAAGGAACACACTGATGAATGATTGCACTGAACATTGCTCAATCAAGATGGTTAAACTCTAATATCCTACGAGGGCAGGACCACAGCAAAATTCTTCCTATGAGTACTCACATTTAGTTATTATTTACAGAATCATTAGAAATAACAAAGCAAATAGGATAACATTTATTCAGTTAAATATGTCACTCAAAAGCTTATTTTAACCCATGTAGACAAAGGGACTACCTGGTGAAAGTTCTAAAACAACACATTTTAAAGAAAACATCACTCACTGTTACAGTTACTAGGTCTGCCTCATGGCTCACTCAGAACACAGAAACCCATTATCTTAATTGCTGCTATGACCAAGCTAGAACTTTAGGCATTTTAAAAAGAAATGAAGTTACAGCGAACTCTGGTAAGTAAAGCGAAATGAAAGTAAAGGCTTCATGTTACTCACCATGTTCTATACTGAAAGTCCCTCTCGGATCTAGGTAAGCGTACTACAAGGTCTAATAGCAACGGTGGAGAGGTTGTCTTTCTGACTCTTTGAATCAAACAGTAACTAAGTGGTTTAAGTAGAAACATGTATTTTGAAAGGTTAATCCACCCATTCACAGGGAAACCCCTTTTTTTAAGAAAGTCACTGTGCTACCAAGAGGCTATTAATATTCACCTCTCAGATACAAATACAACCTACAGATGAAAGATTCACAACCTGGGTGAAAATACCACAGAGGATTCCCTCTTAGTGTCTATGTGGTAATGGAAACACAAGAAAACAGCGTACCTCTTCAGGCATTTAGGGGTACTACAGGAAATCCACCTGCCCACTTCATGGGAAAGTTTTATCAGCTTAAGAGACCCACAACACATAAACATAAATCTAGAATGAGTATAATTTACTGTAAGGACTGCATAGGTCACATATTCATTTCTAGGAATGTTCCTCTGTTTCATCTTCCTATTTCTTTCCCTGAGAGAACTAGCACCCAGGTTAGCATTTAAATACCCTTCAAAGTACTTTAGAAATAAGCCCACTGCCTTTGAAAAAAGAAGTGACTGAGTGTTTTTTGTTTTTTTTTTTTTTTATTTAACTTACGGGGTAATGTTATTTATAGTCTCTATATTGCTTCATTAGTATTATAAGATTAGGAAGTATGTGTCTTGTTTTTTAAAATCATACCAGAAAATAGGCTGTATTATAACCATCCATCTTCACGAAACCATCCAAGGTAATAAGGAAATTTGCACCGGATCAGGAATGAAATGTTTGCTAGTCACACTATTTGTTTATATCTACCTTTTTCAGGTAGATATGCTGATCAGGTAGATTAATTAAATGGCAAATGGCATATGGGTAATACACAGGAGGGGACAGACTGTGTCAGAGTATGAATTTCGCCCCCCCCTGCCCCCAGTAACTTTCATCATAGCAGACTTTGTGGCTTCACAAAACAGATTGACATCATGAATTAATGACGATTTCACGTCTTTAATTCCACTTCCGCATACGCGCTTTAGCAAATCGCCAAATCACGAATTATCTCTTTTATTACAAAATACTATAACTGTCAATCCTGGATAGTGAGTCTTTGTCATATTTTTCTCTACATGTTTATGAATTTTCAAAACTTCAAAGAATAGAAACAGTCCACAATACAATGTAGCTTACACATGCAGTCAACTAAGAAGATCGAAACAGAACCTAGGAAGTAACAGCTTGTTCTTAATCTGAGTGTTTTTTTTCTTTCTTTAAAGAATTATTTTATTTCACTTTATTTATTTATTTATTTTAATTTGACCAGAGAAGGACAGAGTAAGAGAGAGAGAGAGAGGGAAAATGAGAAAACAAGCCTCCAGGTCCAGGACTCGAACTGTGGTTGGCTACGTGGCAGCTCATCACCACACCACCTGCCGGTCCCCTTAATCTGAATTATTAAAGTAAATACATTTGAGATAAAAAGTATCATTGTTTCAATATCTTCTCAGGAATTTTTAATATGTCTTTTAAAGTTTTTAAATTAATACCTAATGGCATTTACCCTATTACTTTCTTTCCTTGTGTGAAAAAATAATTACTTCCTGTTTCAAAGACTATGCCATTTTAGGGAATATCAAAACAATGAGGAGAAATTTCATCAATCAACAGCAGGAAGGTCAAAAGTTAAGCCATCCTTACAGATTGGGATCTTTAGATCTAACTAATAACTAACGTCTTTCTTTGCTGAAAGTACTTTGAAAATTACAGAACGCTATGCAAATGTGAAGCGTGATTGCTATTTTTAAAGCTTCGACGTATTCTTGAAGACAATCTTCTTGTCTCAAGCCATATATCTCTTTATTTAATGATCACATAAATTAAAGGTGTGGGGAAAGCAGAGAAACCTATTTCAGAGTCTGCAGGGCCAAGCAGAAAGTTCGTTTCCGCTAAGGTCTATGGGATGGAGGGTGGGGATGGTGATGGGTGGTGTTGGTCAATGGAAAGTGGAACAAAACACTTTTTATTTCTCTCATGGAAATGTTGGGGGAATGGGAGAGTCTAAGAAACAGAAGGACAGAGTCTGTTATCACCGTGTCCCACCATCCTAACTATAATAAGGGAAACCGGGCCCTCTAAAATGCCAGTATGAAAGACAAGCATCACTAGTCCATAAAACATGATATTGCAGATATGCACATGGTATTGTGTATATCTGTGCCACTTAACATCAACTCTAAGCAGAAGCTGGCTGTTGGCCAACTAAGTGATTTTTAGTGCTCATGAAACACTAGTGATTTACCTTCGGGGAGAAATAAGGAAATGAGTTAGAAAAAAAAAATTTAATAAAAGTTGAAGACTAGTGCCTAAGGTGATAGATCCAAAATCCATTTGACATGTGTTGAGGGTGCAAGTGTCTGCAGGAAGAGGGGAAAATGGCACTGGTGATGTAAGACAAGGCCTTTTGGTGTTGGCTTTGGGGAAAACCAAAAAGTCATATTCAGTGTTGGTTCTTCTATCCAACAAGAGTATTAAAAAGTCTAAGGTAAGGAAGGTGACAAGCTTTAGGTTCAGGGAAGGACAAACTCAACCTGTCTCTACAGATGAGCTGAAAGTGTCACTCGATCGAAGCTCCCATGGATCATGGTGTGTGCCTGTGTGCAGGTCATCCACACGTGTCCCGGGGAAGACACTTCCACACGCTGACTTCCTGGCAAGATTCCAGGCACTCTCCTTTCTCTGCTGCTCCTCTCTGAGTCTTTAAGACTCAGGCTCTTTGTCCTCTTGGCCTCTCAACATCCAGATTCCAACCATAAGAGAAAATGGAGGTTGAATTGAGACAGTCAATGTAGTTATCACAATTGAGGAATTTACTTGTAAAGGCTTCACCACCTAAGGTTTTTCACGTCTCTAGCAATACTGTGGTTAAGCCGATCTGGCCGTGTTTGGCACACTTAAGAGCAATTTCAAACTGACTCTGTTGGGTGAGAGCTTTCTGTGGATTCCTCCAGAGTCTTTCACTATGGAGGTCATGGCCTCTGGTCAAAATTGGGTCCTTATGGTTTCGATGAGAGAGTCAAACCAGAGTCTATCCCCATTACAACCTCAGAACATCCCTTGTGATATAAGTTAAAGGACAGAGATGGCGGTGCCCAGAGCCTCCGTTTGCTATCAAACTAGAAAGGTGATATGGGCTTGTACTCTACCGTCTCCTAACCCTCTCAGACTCCAGCAACAAGTATTTCTTTTCTTTCCTTTTTTACTTTTTTTAATATTAATTATTTATTTTGCACTCATTCATTGATCATCATCACAGCATACAAGACGCAGTTTCCCATCCAGAATACACTGTACAGTGGCTTAGTCATACATCTTAACATCACAAATAATTTTCCATTTCTTGTTTCATATATATATATATATACATATATATGACATTTGATGACACTCTTATTAAAGAAAAGGAGAGTTCGATGTCGTTTTCCTGGTCTCTCCCCATTACGGTGTGCCTGTGCTTTCTTTTTTTCTTCCCTTCTCCAGTATACATAGCCAAGAGCGAATCAGCACCTGATTTAAACTGCTAAAAAGTCACAGTTCTCCTTTTTGTTTTGGTTAAAGGACTAGAAGCGACTTTATTCCTACAAAATTCTGCCCAAAGGAGGATATTATCATTCAAAGAATAAAGACACAGGATGGGTATAAATTTCCTTTCTAAAGAAGATGAAAGACTAGGGACAAACCAGGGCTATAGATAAATCAGAAATGCAGCTGTTTGGAACAGTTATCACTGCAAGCCAGGCCCCAAAGACGTGGTGATCCTTAAAAGGAAATCCCAGGTGTTGACACAGTAGAGAAGTCCCTGGAGAACTCGTTGACACTCAACCCCTTTGACTTTTACCCTCGCCACAACTGTATTCCTTCCTGTGTTCAGTACACATGAATATGCTTTCTCATCCAACTTTAGGAGGCATACCTGTTTTCAACATTAAGTTTGCCTTTGATCATTCCTCTCTTATAGGGATATACCACCCAAAGAGTATTAACTTAGAAATCAGGCATTTTGTACCACATTCCGTGAGGCCAACATTGAAACATTTGCATACCCTCAATCTGGAAGAAAATAGAGATTGGCTACTAGATGCCCTACCCGTTCTACCTGAAGGGATGTTTTTCTTTTAGCAGTTTTCATTTCTAATTGAAACACTAACATGGAAAAATAACTTCTCTTAAGCTGTGATTTCCACCTTCCCTGGCTCTCATTCAGCCAGCTGATTTCATGTGCTCTTTAGAACTTAACTTTAACTTGACAGTGTTGTGGGATTTAAGCACATGGGAGAAGACAGGAACTTTAGACTGTAAAAACGGTTACTCAGATGATTAGGTTTATGAATATTTTAAGGTAAAGTCATTTACTAAGTTGAAGTTAAGGAGAGGTCTTCACTGTTTTATCCCAAAGGACTAAGAAGATTATGTAACAAGTGTTCGTTTTTACTTTAGGCATTTAGAAACTCAAAATAATTTAAAAGATTATATTGGAAGTTATTTTATGTACCAAGGAAATAAATCTGTTTATAGCAGTTCAATTTAAACCAATGCGATATTCTCCAGTGGTATTTGTTCTAACAACCACATTACAGATCAGATTCATTTAACCCCCGGAGGCTTCTGGTTCTTTTTCTATTTTTATCTAAAAATGAGATTGGAGTAGATAATGCCTAAAATTCCTTTCCAGATCAAAGAGTCTAGAATTTTCTTTCACATCAAATAGCAAGAAACACATTTACATTTTGATTGGTCTTATGGCATGAAATCAAATCTTTTTTTATTTTATTTATTTATTTTTTTAGAGATATTTTTGCTATAGGGTGTGTGTGCTTGCCAGTCAGACAGAGAGAGACAGAGAAACAGAAAGTGAAAAATCACCCCCACAGGAGGATGACCACAATCCTTCTCCTCCATTCTCTCAGGATCTTGGGCACGCATGCACACATGCCTAGCGTGAGTTTTAAGCCACCAGGTCTGGGACTTGAACCACGGTCAACTACGTGGGAGTCCAGC